AAATAAATAAACATTAAAATCACTTCCTGCTTATTCATGAACCAGATGGTAAAGTTAAATGCATTGCATAATGGGATACAGTATTCCATGAAGCTGATTTGCATACAGTATACAAAACATTTAGGAAATTAGTGTGCATTCACATTTAAAATGAATAAATGTTTTTAAAGATGAGCTTCTGGGTTGTAAATATTACTTTCATTGACAACAAATACAGTTCTTCAGTAAATTATGTGATGCATCATGAAGTGTGAAATCTGCAAATGCAAAGTCATGGCTTCAGCTCTCTCAGTGAAGACAGGAACGGAATCAAAAAGCATGGCCCATATCAATTCACTTTGGATAAAAGCACCTGCCAAATGCATAAATGTTTTATGCAAAACTCTACTTTGATAAAGGCCTGCATGCACAATATTTCATTATTCCAATTGTCTTGGTAAGTTATCCACGGTCTGCGCTGAAGCGGCTGTGTGTTCCTCCTTTTGAGAGTTTATTAGCAAATACTTTATAGTGAAGTAGAACTGAACAGCAGCCTCACACCCTGCACATATAAATGAGATTCAAAATGCTTCCTGTGGCTGTTAAAGCAAAAGTCTCATCTCTCAAAATGCAAAGGAAGAGAAAGTTATACAGATGTTTTCTTACTGTTGCATTTGCTGCTGTATTTATACAAACTAGTGCACCAAACTGCTGGAATCAGCAAACACGCTGCAAAATCTCTGCAAAAAAAACTTTTCTTTTTATCACACAGGTCAAACTTTTTTCCATGCAATTCTAAGAAACAAACTCAGAAATGTGAAATATAATTTTCATACCTTTACAACTCGTAATTATTGCTTTTTGTTTCTAACACAGAATATAAAAAAATGTGTGCCTTTTTATATCTCACAATTCAGGATTTTATTGTAATAATGTTTACTTTTTTTCTTGGAATTCTGAGTTTATATTTTATAATGCTGAGGTAAAAGTCAGAATTGTAAAATATGAACTCAGAATTGCAAGGAATAAATATGAATTATGAGATAAAAAGTTTTTTTTTTTTTTAAATACACTTTTGATCTTTTTTTTTTTTTTTCAGAAAATATGACTTGGTATCTTTAGTAAGTTTGCGTCTCCAGTAAATATATCTTAATTTAAGAATCTTTAGACATTTATACTGGAAAACAAAACAAAAATACTTAAGAAGATTTAAGGAATAATTGGCATAATTGCACACACCAAAATGACAGAATTAAAACCCAAAAACCAGATACCTTAGAAACCAGAAACTAAGGTTAGAGGTTTGTTTGTGTAAGCAACATCAATCCTTTACTTAGCGAACAAAAAAAGCAGTAATTCAAAAATATTACACATGAATCATGAATTACACGGACAATAAACCATGACAATATTTTTGTAATGCGTTTTCATTAAATCTCTTCAGTCCCTTCACTGAATTTGTGTCTCTGATTACAGCTGATAAGGAGTAAAATCAATGCGTGTTAAATCATTAAATGTCACTATAATCGCAGCTAACAGTAAATCAATGAGCAAATGCTGAATTATCGCAGTAGCGCATTGAGACAACGTCCCTAAACAAGCAGGAGCACGTGACTGACAGCTTCAACACCCGTCATTCATTCAGTCCATGAGCTCCACTCACGCTTCATATTTTAGACACTCACACTCACTCACACACACACACACACACACAGGTTTGTTTTTGTGAAAAGTGGGGACATCCCATAGGCGTAATGGTTTTTCTACTGTACAGACCGTATATTCTATTGTACTCACACACTCACACACTCACACTCACACTCACACACACAAACACACTCACACACCATGACGGGAAATCACGGTCTTTATAGCATTGTACTAACGTTAAAGGTTTGACCTCCAGGCAGATCGACATGATGTGTGTTTACCCTGTAGAGCCTGAGAGATGCTCAACACATGAAAATCAGTGAGCTTCAGCAACACTGAGCTGAGAAACACCAAACAACTGATCCGTTGATCTAATAATTCATTGACTGTGCTGTTGTGCATCTGTTTAAAACACTTGATTATTTGGTCTATTGATTATTTCTACGGAAGCTCAACAATATTCCTGCAACCATCTCTCAACATTCTCTCAACATTCTGCCGATATTTGTTATAAATGAATGTTCTTCCAGTAACATTAACAGAATGTTCGTTCAGAGTTATCTGGTCGTTAATAATGTTCTCAAAATGTAAGCACTAAAACATTATTTATACATTCATGGAACATTATAATTCTGAAACATTTTAGTCTGACATTTGTTGAATGTTTAATGTTACTATTTGCTTCAGAACGTTCAGAGAACATTCAAAAATAACGTTACATTTTATGATAACGCATCACCAAGACTAAAACTGGACGTTTAGAAAAAGTTCTGATATAATGTTTTCATTACTGACAGGAACGTTAGAAAAACACTCTTAGAACATATTTTTGTAAGCTGGGATGAAGCAAGTAAAAACCAAAGCCTGTTTCATAAACGTTATGGGTTATAATGAGACTGATTTAAAGTAAATAATCATATAATGCACATCACATATTCTATGCAAATGAACAATCAGTTAAATCACTCTTCTGTGGAGTTATTTGAAAGGCTTTCACTAATACTGAAACATTAAGCTGTAAACCGACACCTTCCAGATAAAACCACACATATTAAAGCAAATGATCATATTATACTCATTACACGTTCTATGCAAATTAATTAATGGTGAAATCTCTCTTCTGTGACATTATTTGCAATGCATTATGCAATGCATTTCAGAAATATGGACATACTGCAGATGAAGAAAGGCTCCAAAAGTGACAGAAGAAAGCACACATATTAATAGATGAAATGATTATTTACAGACAAACACTCAGCGGTAATATTTCTCACAGCACCTCAGAAAATCAAGTTTTTTTTAATGAATAAATCAATCAGTAAGATGTCATCATGGGACGTTTCCAAACTGTCATTGAAATGAACTGAATTGATCTGAATGATGACTCTGTTGTCTTCTGTAGAGCTGCTTTACAGCAGAATCTGAATTAGTCTCATATTTGATGAAGTCTGCGTCACTGATTCTGATATTTTCCTGTTAATTACTGTAAAGCTGTTCTGAAACAATCTCTATTGTATAAAGCACTATAGAAATAAAGGTGTCTTGACTTGACTAGCTGTTTCTGAAAAGGTATGCATATTTACAGTACTGCTAAAATGTCTTGAGCAAGTCATATACAAGTAATATCTACGTGCAACAGTATTTAAGCAATAAAAACCTATATTGCACATCTGATGCACTGCTCTCATCAAATCTCTCAAGTTCACATCAAATCGATTGAACTGAACAAGGGTCAGTTCATCACAAAATGACATTTCAAAACATTCAAATAACATATCACATGATGTATATCCTAATATTCCATTTAAAGAAACATGACAGTCAATTATGCCAAACAAACGCCATTGGTTCTTGCGTATCATGTGACCAGTTCAAATGTGGCAAGTTTGAATATGTGGTTCAAATCTATGCTGGAGTTCAATAGAAGAAAGAAAGTCAAACAGGTTTGGAACGACATGAGAGTGAATAAAGGATGACAGAAGGTTCTGCGAAGGCTCTTTATCAGCATTAATGGTTCCATGAAGAACCCTCAGCATCTATGGAATACTTCCTTGGTTCTTTAAAGTGGAAAAAGCTTATTCAAACGAAGAAATAATGATCATTAAAAGGCTCTTTGGGGATCCAAACTTGGTTCTTCTAAAGTATCGCTGCTGCAAAAGGCCCCTTATGAAAGCTTTATTTTTAGAGTGTAGTCCTTTAACACATCTATTCTCCGCTGTAATTAAAGCTGAACACACTAGCTCTTTTCTTGAATTTTTAAAGAGGCGAGTCGCTGGGAATCACAATCTGCTGCAAGTGCGGCCCCTTCCATCATCCTGATGTAATGACTTCGGAAAAAAATAATAACTCAATCTCAGGATTGTTAAGATCGATACCTAATCCATTCTGCTGCAGGAGCTCTTCTGGAGCCGAAGCCAAGCTGTGGGTTTATCTACAGGACACGAGGCCAGAGCCGTTCATCAGCTCCACCGCGGCGGGAGAGATACCACTGACAGCCGGAGCCGCGATAAGACGAGAGCCGAGCGCATTGGTTCTCCGTCTGGACTGGCACAGGAGCGATGGGCCGATAAGAGCATCGACTGCACTGGCAGAGGTCAGACACCGAATTTATCGGGTCAGGAATGGATGTGACACACTCACACTGAGGCAGGTAAATATCTGTCATTTCCAGATGCTGTTCAACAAGCTCCTCACTGATATCCAGACGTGATTTGAGTCTCATCTGCCATAAAACACCAGCGGAAACAGAAGCAGATCATCACAGCCGCATGAAAACAATTAGACCAGATCAACTATAAAACTACTGACCTGAAAACCTGCTGAGATGTTGATTACTGCATGATTTAATAAAAGTAAACTTAAAGCAAAACATTACTGTTGTTACAATTGTTATATTAAGTTACTAAATAAAAAGTAAAATAAACAATAAAATAGAAAATAGAAAACAAGTAAATAATTCAGTTAAAAAAAAAAAACTGCTCTACAAAAACACATGACAACCACAATCAGGTTCATTCACTTCTTATATACAAAAAAGGGTTATTATTATTTACTAAAACTAAAACCATAAAAAATTATGACTTCAAATAAAATAAACATTAACTGAAATGAAATAAAATAAAATAGTAAACAAATAAAAATATATAAAACTAAGAAAAGGGACAAACACAACAAAATTCCCAAAACTTTAAAATTAAAATCAAAACTGAAAATATTCAAAATAAAATACAATTCAGAATATTAACAAAAAACTGTAATAGTAAAGCAATGATACTAAAATACCACTGGTGCAAAAATATTAATCTGATCTCAAAATGTCCACTAAAGATCTCTCAAAAATAAAAACCTTTCCAGCAGAGGATTTCACTCACCTGTCCTGCGTTTGTCCTCGACTCCGAGCGAGATTAATCTACAGAAATGCTTCTGAATCCATCAGTCATCTGTCAAATTCCTGTATAAGCCATAAAACAGCATCATTCAGTATTAAATGTGTAACTTAAACTCAAAGTTGGCTGTTCTCAGGTACTTCCTTAAAAGTCCCCTGCACTTCCTGCTGAGAAGGAAACAGAAAAATTAAGAGTCCCTGTGAACTTCACATTCTCCAGCACATACAGGGAAGAAAAACATAAAGTCATTGATACATTTTTTAAATTAATTTTATTTTGTTTCTCTATAGTTTATTTTTATTTTATCCAATTTTATTTTGTTTCTGTGTCTGATTTATTTTTATCTAATTTTATTTTACTTCTGTTTCTGTTTTGTTTTTATTTTATCCAGTTTTATTTTGTTTCAGTGCCTGTTTTATTTTATTTAATTTTATGTCAATTTTGTTTCCTGCTGTGGGTACTAAAGATGAATATGAATGATCTTTATGCTTCTTCATGGTTCTTTCCACCTCTTGCTATATATTGTATTCATACAACAGAAAGCATGTGGAGAAACTGCTGAGTTTTCATGTGCTGAGACAGATACTAGACACTGAGAGCCATGAAAAAAATAATACACTTTCAGATGAAAAGCTGAAGAATATGGAAGAGAAATCTCTGCCATGCACTGTAAAAAGAAGAAAATAAAAGAAATAAGAAAATGCTAGTAAATTGCACAAATAATTACAAAGAAAATGTTTGTTTGTAAGCAGTCACTCATGCATTAATCATGAGCGGGGCGGGGCCTGATCCTTTGACTGGCGCCTGAGCAGCCAATAAGCATCCAGTATTACAAACAAGAGACTTAAAGAGTGTGATGGGGCATAAAGTCGTAGCTTCTCTCTTTATTTTTATCTGTTCTTCTGAAAAAATCATTAAGCAGATCAAGAACCTCATTGAGCAGATGTGTTGAGGGGAACTCTGAGCCTCCTCTCATATCAAACATACGCATGAAATCATGAGGAACCCGTCCGATCTCACTGTCCTGCCATGGCAACCCAAAGCAATTAAATCCCTATCTTATGAGCTTCTATCCATCTCTCTTTCCTCCCACATCCGTCTGAAGGAGCTGCTGATCGCTATGGCAACCCGTCGTAATAAAACTCATAACCTAAGCAGATATTTGGCCTGCGACGGGGCTTGTGGCATTCATGATTCCAGTGTGACCAAAGCAAACATGAATGGATGTGAAATTACATTTTCTGAAGCAAATCTGCTCACCTGTTGAAAACGTCTCAGGTTACTTATGTAACCATGGTTCCCTGAGTAGGGAACGAGACACTGCGGTCATGATCCAGAGCAGGAGATCTGAACTTCACGTCTCCAGATGCAGAAGAGAATACAGTGAATACAGTTTGAACAGCAGAGGAAAGTGTGGATGTGAATAATACAGCGACCTCCATACAGCCTCAAAAACTGTGTTTCTATTTATGCTGTAATTATGACAAGTTTCTTGTTTTATCAACACTTTTATCATCACAAACTGGGAGATCATTATTTCTAAATTAATCAAACACAAATCAATATGTCTGTCTGTCTGTCTATAAATATGTCTGTCTATCTATCTATCTATCTATCATCTGTCTGTCTGTCTGTCTATCTATCTATTCATTATACATTTATTTTATTTCAACTAACAAATGTTTCTTATAGTTTTTGTTTCTGATAATAACTTTGACTCAGAAAACATCAGATTATAAAAGTCAAAGAGGTTGTGAAGATCATTTCATGTTGACAGTCATTATCAGTATGAAGAGAGAAATTGTGATGATTCAGATGAAATGAGCATCACAGAAGCATTCTCATTCTGCAGCTCGTCTCTGTCCTCTGTGCACCGCAGTGTAAACCATTTGGCATTAGACAGGTCTAGTCATTAAAACCTCCATTAACCAGTGCATAAACTCCATCTCGCTTGGATAAATGTGTGTCAGTAACCGGCCTACAGATGGGTAATGAGACTCGATGATCTGCTCGCCGCTTAATTACACAATCAGAAACAGAATTGTGATTCTCTCTTTATTTCTGGGGTTTAAAGTGCAGCGTGAGACACACAGATGACCTCTGGTGACCTCTGTGTGTTTCTGAGGACGTTATGATTGTGTTTGTGATGGAGACAAATGAGATTTCTGCTTTAGAAGAAAAACTGAGTGACGTTTTGACTACATAAAGATCCTTTACTTTACATACACAAATATAACAAACAAATATGTGATCAATTAGTGCATAAAACTGTAGATGAAGTGTTGAGCTTTACTATCACTGTATTACATTGGTCAGAGTGGGCGGAGCTTCTGCTAGATGCTCTAATGTGATTGGTCAACCAGAGCTTCTGAAAATATGATCACATTAATGAGATGTCAACTTATTTGGAGAAAGAATCATTCTTTCTCTGCTATAAATGAGCATTATGGAGGGCAAAATGTTTGCGTGTAAACCTCAGCAGTGAATACAATATTATTAAATGTTTTTTTGTATAAAAATATAATATTATTTTATACAAAATATTAAATGGGTCAAACGGCTGGAAAGAAACAGACTCATTACAGAGTAAACATCATTATCCACTGGACATCATGACATTTAGAATTAACTTCTAATGATCTCTCAGTTAATTAAAGCTAAATTTCATAACTAATGGTCTGTAAAAGTGACTATTAATAATGATATCCAAACAACAAATAATAGCAAATAAAAGTTACAATTTTGTAGCTGTATTATAATAGTTAAAAAACAAAAAGGATAATAACCAGAGATAAATATACATAAAGAAAACTTGGTTTAAATTAATAGTATAATTTTAAACCAAACAAATGCAAAAATAATAATATAATATAATTTAGTAGTTATTTTGTATTGATAGTGTAATATAATTGCTGCTTTTGTAATATAAATGCATTTAAATATACATTTTTAAATATAAATATTTATGTGCCTATGTAAAAATGAAATAATATAAATAACATTGAATACAAATATTTTAGTATTGCTTTATTGTTGATAGTGCAAGATAAATTGCCTTTAAACCATGTGAAAATCAAATAAAAAATAAATTAATCTAAATAACATTAAATAAAATATATTCATATTATATATACACTTAAATCTGAAAACCATAATATAAATAATTTTAAATAAAATATATTAATATCATGTATACACTTATACACAAAAAACACACAAAAAAATAAAATAATATTAAATAAAATGTATCCACTTAAATCTGTAAACCATACAAACATGTAATGGGAGTGAAGGGTGGATTAATATTAGACTAATATAAAGCCTCTGAAAGCGTTTCTGAAAGACAGCTTCCTTCATAAAGCCTGAGCCGTGTCATTGATCAGAAACAGTGCTGTACTGTACGAGACCAATCACGCTCTGAAACGGGATCTTTCCTTTTATGGCCGGATCGCTGAGTGATTGATTTGATTGCTTTGTTAACCTTGATAAGAACGGAGCGGCGCGTCTGCACTCTTTAGTGGATATTTTGTCATATTGCTGTTGTTGACAACTTATCAAATCAATAATGCACTGGAGACATGCAACAGTATAAAGCACTTCGCACAACGCAGCTGTGTTATTGCTTTATTCTATCAATATCAATGAGATTCACCAATAAACCAATATTTTTTTCCCCAATATTTAATAATTCTTTCTTAATTATATATAATTATATATATATATATATTTATCAGGCATTTCAAGAATTGCACACCATTATTCCAGTGAACTAGCTGGTTATCTTTACTCTGTCCTAATAAGCAAGCATTATTTACTCCTTTGACTTTGACTTGTTTACTTGAGTTTAAAGACTCAATATTTGAACTATTTTGGATTTAATGCACTGACACTATCAGATGAAAATGAAACTGAATTGATCTGAATATCATTATTAAAGACCAGTGAACTCTGAAGTAACTGGAAGAACGTTTCTTCGTCATAACGTGAAGAGAATATTCTCTGTTATCTGTGTAATGATTCGCTGCTCTAGAGATTAATGCATGAAGCCTGAGTAAACGGAGAGAGTCATCCGGACCGAACGGAAACAGAAAGCTTGGCATCAGACGCAGCTGAGGGCCCGATAACATCAGACGAGCAATAAAGCAAACGCTACACAGCTTCTGTCCTAATAAATGAGCCAAATGTGTTTCATCTCAGCGGCTTCATCTTCATCGCTCTGGAGAATGTTAGCGCAGGGACTCGAGTCAAACACACACGCGTGACATGCACAATAAAGCCTCACTTCGCATCAAAGCGTGTCTTAATGGCTGCAATTAATTTGATATAGAGTGCTTTACACTGCAACTTCAATCTAATTACTGGCTCTTAAATAACAGCTTTATATGAGAGCGCCGCACACAGAGACCGTTTATGACTAGCTGCTGCCGTATTTTAAAGAGATTCTTTTATGCTCTGTTTAATAAAACCTCTAAAATACAAAGCATTTAATTGAACACACACACACACACACACACACACTCACTCACTCACTCACTCACTCACACTCGCACGCCACAGGAGTGCAGCCTACAAACACACATCAGTGTTTAATTATTCATTTCATTGTTTAATTATTTAATTTAAAATTAAATAACTAACTCCCGGTTACACAGACGAGGCTTAAACTTAATCCCAGACTAAAATGTAAATCTGAGCTGTTTCAACTGAATGACACTTGCTCTGACTGATCTTAAAACATGCTAGTGCCTTTGTTTTGTCTTAAGATGCACACCAGTAATGCTTTTTTTCTAAGCACGTTTATAAAAATTACTTAAATGTCCTAATTGAACTATGGCCTAATCGTGGCTTAGGCTAAGCCCTGTCTATGAAACCGGGCATAAATGTATTTATACACATAATAATTTCACTTATTCATTTAATTATTTATTTTTACAGAACTTCATTTGTTTATTTATTTATTCACTTCATTTATTTATTGATTTTATTCATTTCATTATTAAATTTTTTATCAGATTTATGTATTTATTTCACTGGAGGAAGAGTTATTATGGATTATGGACTCTATGTATTTTAGTTAAAAGCGTCTTAATGCTGGATTAGTTTCAGCTTTTGTCTTCTCCAGATATTAACTGATGGACTGGAGTGCTGTGGATTACTTGTGG